GCTCTCGATCTTGCGCTACATAGAGTAATTCATCCGCGCTCAAGCCTGTCCATTGGCGCAAGTTCCTCAATCACGAAAGCCTCTTGCGCCCAATCCACTGCTTTCCTTCGATTTTTCCGTTAAGGATTAGTCGGAGTAATTCATATTGAGGTCCTCTGGTTATATGGCCAAGGTATTCAAGTTTTCGTCGCTTGATAATATTCAGAAGTAGTCTGTCGGGCTCCATTCTTCGAAGAATATTCTAGGCATTCTTCTATCTGTCCACATTTCAAATGTTTTGATTTTATTTATTGTTTCTTTATCAAGTGGCCACGTCTCACATCCATACAAAAGAATCGACCACACATAACACTTTGTAAACTTTTCCCGTATTTTGGTGTTTAGTGAACTATTTGAGAGCAGCGACTTAAACTTCTGAAATGTATTTCTTGCTTGTTCTATACGAAATATGGGTGGTCCGAACTGTATCCCGGAAACTTCAGCAGCATATTCTGCAGATAAAAATAAGTAAAAAAGTTCGTATAAATATATGTCCTAAGATGCTTAGTTTCAGAAATACAGGGTATAGAAGTTTCATTTTTATTTCGATTTTTTTCTGAATAATTTCTGAATTGACGTCAATATTTGGATGAAAATTGGGGTCTGAGAGTTTTTTGACATGAGAAATTTGATTTTGATGTCAATATGACTCCGACTAGTAGAGGGCGCCACCTACATGTGTTTTAACTATTTTGAAGCCTAATAACTTTTTGTCCGTTCCTACTGCAAAATAAATTTGTGAAATTTTATTTTTTTTTAAATTAATCATAAATTTTTCAGCAAAAAATGATGGTAAAACAGTTTCTGTTGAACTTTTGGCACAAAAACATTTCAAATTTATGATTTCAGTCTAATAACTAATAAGCCAACATAACCTCATCGGCAAAAGTCTTGCACCCCCAGACAAATTTATTTCTTTGCATAGCATATTGTTGTGGCTGTGTGTACAAATACCTTAATATGTGTCTACAAAAAATAGGTCATAAAAGCAATGAAAGAAAACCTTATCGATGGAATGTGTATGGTTTTGCTATTTACGGTCAAATTTTGTTTCTCAGTTCGAGTTCAGTCTTGTAGTAAGTGTTGTGAAAGGCGACAAAAATGCCAGGGCACGAAATTTCTGCCTTCGATAGGGCCCGAATTATCGCTTTGCATGAAGAAGGTCTCAGCAGGCATCAAATTGCTGATCGTTTAAATTTAGTGCGAAGTACTGTCAGCCGAATTATACAACGGTATATGGACACCGGAAATGTAAGATCTCGTCCTAGGTTGGGCCGTCCAAGGATAACGACTGAACGACAGAATCGCTACTTGGCTCAATTTGCCAGAAGAAATCGGTCAGTTCCAATTCTAGAGCTACGATCTCAGTTTCAACAAACTTACCACCGAGTGATATCAAGCCGAACCATTTCCAGGCGACTTTCTAATGCTGGATTGCGGCGTAGACGTCCACTGCGAGTCCCTCTATTAACTTTACATCATAGACAAAGGAGGCTACAGTGGGCTAGAGAACACCAGAACTGGTTATTACCTCAGTGGAGAAACGTAATTTTCACTGACGAAACCAGGATAGGTTTGATCAGTGATGACTATCGTCAGCGAGTGTGGAGGGAGGCAGCATCGCTTGAATACAGCCCTTGCTGTTGCTCCTTATCAAGGAGGAACTGAGATGTTCTGGGGTGGCATCATGTACAATAGGCGAACAGAGCTTATTCATATTCCTGAGGTGATGAACGCCCATTTGTATGTGGAAACTGTAATCAGACCAATAATTTATCCACCGCGAGAAGAAATCGGCAATAATTTTATTCTCATGGATGATAACGCTCGTCCTCACAGAGCTAGGATAGTCCAGGAAGCATTAAATGAAGGAGAAATAACTCGTCTGGACTGGCCTCCACTCTCCCCCGACATGAATCCTATTGAACATGTCTGGGACTACATCGCCAGAGCTGTATTTCGCAGAAATAACCCACCAACAAATCGCCAGGAGTTGATCATTGCCGCTCAAGAGGAATGGCAGAACTTACCTCAAGAAACCATAAATAACCTTTTTAGTGGGGATGCCCTGACGACTTGATGCACTCATAACAAATCGAGGAGGCAATACTTTTATATTAGTAACCTTAACTTTGTCAGAATTTATTATTTATTTTCTCTTTTTGTCAAATATTTTTTCATGGAATTTGCATTTTTTTTTATTTTGGCAAAATATATTATTAAACTTGGTGAAAGTTTTCCCTTTTTGTGTTATTTTTTAACATAACTTTAGCATCTATTGATTTGTACGAAAAATTAGTTTGGAATGTAATTTTTTATTAAAATAGTAAGGGGGTGCAAGACTTTTGCCGATGAGTTTATGTTTAATTATGTCAATGATGACAGGTATTGATAATTTCGATTCCAAATATCTCGAAAACCATTACTGTAGCAATTTTTACCTAGAGACCTTTTTCACGTAAAAAATGTGAATGAATATTTTTTACTCGGTAGTTTTATACAGGTACGGACGAAAAGTTATTACTCTTCAAACCAGTTAAAAATATGTAGGTGTCGCCCTCTACTAGTAGTAGTCATATTGACATCAAAATCAAATTTCTCATGTCAAAATCTCCCAGACACCAATTTTCATCCAAATATTGACTTTACTTCAGAAATTATTTGGAAAAATCGAAATAAAATGGAACTTCTACACCCTGTATCTCCGAAACTAAACCTCTTAGGACATACATTTATACGAACTTTTTACTTATTTTTATCTGTAGAATACGCTGCCGAAGTTTCCGGATTACAGTTTGGACCACCCTGTATATACGAACTTCTATAATTTAACAATGTGAAAATAAAGATGAAAATGGAGTCAATAACTTGCTGATGTGCTTTACGTTGAATCAATTTTAATAAAATACCATAAGATAAAAAACAAGAATTACACCGAGGATAATTTTGTTACGATAAAATCCCTACACTTGATTACTTGTTGACCCGTACTTATCTTTATTTCAGTTGGCTTATTAGGTTGTCATTTTTTTTTCAAACGTCACAAAAGTATTAATTCTTGCGACGTGATTGACAATTGCTGTTTTTTTAATTGCCTTTTTGATTTGTACGCATTCGAGCTCGAGCTATTTTCTTGGTAATTGGACATATTTCCTTATAACACAGGTATTCAGATATTCAGCAGTTGATGCCATACAGTAAAGGCGATGTAATAATAAATCAGTCAGGTTAGTATACCACTAATAGAATTTTCGCTTTCAAACTGTGAATACTACTTGTTCTGACACATGCCAAATTCAATTACTTACCCAAAGACAATTTAGTCCCAAACTAATTTACTTACTAAATTGACAGATATAGATTGGAAACGTCATTTGTTCGCATTAAATTGAAATTTATCTAATAAGATAAGAGATAAGATTGGGAAACGTAATGAAACTTGTAATGGAGTCTGATGTAAGTAGGGTAGGTTGGCCAACTGTCCTCTATTCTAGAGAACAGTCCTCTTTTTGCCAGTAGTGTTTTCCTTTATCTCCCGCATTGAAAAATTTATCTTTTTTATACACCAAACTCAAAATCTAAAAAATAATCGTCTACAGCCACAATTCTTAATAAAATTGTTAATCTGGTAACAATGAGTCTTGAGTACTAAATTCCCACTCGTTTATTCAAAAAAAAATTAATATAGTAATTAATAATTAATTCTTTTATAAGTAGTTGTTTTGATATGTTAAAGAAGCACAACATTTATTTCGTTCAATGATACGGAAAATGTTATTATAAATTTTATGCTTCTTTAACCAAAATAACAAAAAATAGCGATGACGTTACTCAAAATTTTGATATTACCGATTAGTTTTTATCATCTGCTGATGGGGCCTCGAATTTAAATTATAATAACTATCTATAGGTAACTATATTACCATAGAAACGCGTTTTGATTTTGGGATTTTCAACTACCCCCCCATTTTCATATTTTTATAATATTTCCTTAAGATATTGGAAGTTTGGAAAAGCATAAATGGAATTAACCATTTTAGATTAAGCAATAACTTTTATGAAGAGTGCATTTTTCTCAAAAAAATAATATTTAAAAATGCATCCTCTTGTAAAGACCTATTGGGGCATATTGTATACAGGGTGGTCCGAATTGTATTCGAGAAACTTGGGCAGCATATTCTGCAGATCAAAAAACAAGATTTTTTTAGTTTGAGATACAGGGTGTAGAAACTTCATTTTTATTTCGATTTTTTCCAAATAATTTCTGAACTATTCTGTCGATTTCTGGAGTAATGGTTCTCGAGATATTTGGACTCGAAATTATCAATACCTGTCATCATTGACATAAATTAAACATTTTATCTAAATAATTATTAGACTGAAGTAACAAATTTGAAGTATTTTTGTGTCGAAAGTTCAACACAAACTGTTTTTTCATACTTTTTGTTATGACAAATTTAAAAAAAAAAATAGAACTTTTTATTTATTTTTTTAACCAAATTTATAATTTCAGTCAAATATCTATTTACTCATCTTTACTTTCTGCCAATAATGACATGTATTGACTATTTCCATTCTAAATATCTTGAGAACGGTTGCTCGTAGCGATTTTTACCAACAGACATTTTTTACGTAAAATATTACGGAAATGTATATTTTTTTACTCGGTATTTTTTACAGGTTAGCTCAGTTAAGTCAGGTTAGACAAAAAGTTATTTCTTTTCAAAACAGTGAAAATACATGTAGAGGATGCCAATCTATTCAAATATCGACTATAGTTCAGAAAATATTTCGAAAAAACCGAAATAAAAATTAAATCTAAACACCCTGTACCCCCGAAACGAAGTATTTAAAACATACATTTATACAAACTTTTTTTATTTATTTTCATTTGCAGAATATGCTGCCAAAGTTGCTCGAATACAATACGGGCCAAACTGTATAACATAAAATTCTTTTACCTGTAAATTAAATCTCCAGTATTTCCATCTCTGCCATCTTGCAAACTCTGCCTCCCATCAACCGCCTCACTCTCCACCCCATCTTTACCAGCAAACTCCTCAAGTACCACATCTAATTCACCCTGTTTCAACACCCTCACGCTTGTCTTAACCCCCTCGTTAGCTTGGCAACATCGCCACATACAAACCAAACCCACCAAAAACACTCCGCTATTTATAATTTGCTTCATACTGCCTCGATGTTGATTCTGTTTTTGTCGAACGATGTTTAAATGCGCTACAAACGCAACGCTGCGGCCCTTTTAAATGTGAAACGAATCAAACTGTTTATACTGTAATCTAAAACCGGTCAAACGCGCCACATTCGAACTTCATTTGCTCCGATAGGCGGCTCATTTATTTTATTAGGTTTATGCAAATGTAATGGCTTTTTTATTTCGAATGGAAATGGGTCGAACTATGATAACGCTGTTTTCGGTAACGTGAGTGAAATCGCTAAGTAATTTCCGGCTGTTGTTATAAACAGGTTTATGGTTGAAAATATACTGTTTTTTAAATAATAACCAGTCAACAACTTTACGTTCTACGTGATTTGGTTATTATCAAAAACTATTTAAATAAAAATACGACCTAAAGGTAGATCTAGAAAAAACGGCGTCCATTTGATTTAAATTGGCATTTACCATACAATTTTTGAAATGAAATTTTTTTATGCGCGCTTCTTGTAATGGAGTTCTTCCTTAAAGCGCTTGCACACACACCGGCAAAATCGGTGCCGGAGCCGGCGCCGGCTTTGCACCCGTTCCGACAGTTGCATTTAATTCTATTGTATTTGCCGGTCCACGACTATTTTGCCGGATCGGAGTATATGTGAAGGAGCTAATTTATTTACATTGCAATCGATTACACATTTTTTGTCCAATTTTCTGTTATGTCTTAGGTTGTGCGTTTCATTGATATGGAAGATGCTCATGACGTATCCATAGTAGCCACTTGTGATCTTGAAGGTTTCGATGAGATCGCCACAATTCTTTGTTCACGCAGAGTATAGTTAGACTCGCCGCCATCTCCAAACGAATCCTAGTGACCCTCCACTGAACATGTTCAAATATTTCAGTCCTTGGCATAATAGGGATTCCATATGCATTGTGCATATTCGATTTTTAGCCTACTGTATGACCTATACAACTTGAGTATCATCTCGCCTGATTTGTTTGCAAATGCTGCTTTGATTATGTAGATCATAGTATTGGCTTGTTTAACTATGCAATTTATATGATACTCCCACTTCCAAATATTCCGCAATTTTAATGCCCAGGTGTTTTTGATGTTTCACATTTGAGACTTAGTATCTTTTATGTGGGTTATTATGACCAATGTGGAGAACGGTGCATTTTGAGTTGTTCAGTGGAATTTTCCAGATATTTATCCACGATTTAATTGTTGGTTGTTTTTTTTAAATAAACTTTTCAAATTTCAATCCTTCATATTTTCTCAATGATTCGACCGATTTTCAAAAACAAAGCGGAGAAATATAAAGACAGAAAGCTCTTTTTTCATTGCGGTGCCACTTGACCCCCTTCCCATTTGAAAAAGTTGGGGGATGACACCCCCGCTTAGAGGGTGGAAGATTTTGCAATCATTTTTAGGGCAAAAGTTGTCCCCCTCACAAACAAAATTGACGTGTTTTTGAATTTTCTGAAAAAAAAAATTACCCTGGTCTTTATGCCTTGCGGAACGTTTTCGATTACACATTTTTTGTCCAATTTTCTGTTATGTCTTAGGTTGTGCGTTTCATTGATATGGAAGATGCTCATGACGTATCCATAGTAGCCACTTGTGATCTTGAAGGTTTCGATGAGATCGCCACAATTCTTTGTTCACGCAGAGTATAGTTAGACTCGCCGCCATCTCCAAACGAATCCTAGTGACCCTCCACTGAACATGTTCAAATATTTCAGTCCTTGGCATAATAGGGATTCCATATGCATTGTGCATATTCGATTTTTAGCCTACTGTATGACCTATACAACTTGAGTATCATCTCGCCTGATTTGTTTGCAAATGCTGCTTTGATTATGTAGATCATAGTATTGGCTTGTTTAACTATGCAATTTATATGATACTCCCACTTCCAAATATTCCGCAATTTTAATGCCCAGGTGTTTTTGATGTTTCACATTTGAGACTTAGTATCTTTTATGTGGGTTATTATGACCAATGTGGAGAACGGTGCATTTTGAGTTGTTCAGTGGAATTTTCCAGATATTTATCCACGATTTAATTGTTGGTTGTTTTTTTTTAAATAAACTTTTCAAATTTCAATCCTTCATATTTTCTCAATGATTCGACCGATTTTCAAAAACAAAGCGGAGAAATATAAAGAATAGAAAGCTCTTTTCATTGCGGTGCCACTTGACCCCCTTCCCATTTGAAAAAGTTGGGGGATGACACCCCCGCTTAGAGGGTGGAAGATTTTGCAATCATTTTTAGGGCAAAAGTTGTCCCCTCACAAACAAAATTGACGTGTTTTTGAATTTTCTGAAAAAAAATTACCCTGGTCTTTATGCCTTGCGGAACGTTTTCGATGGGCCACCCTGTATATTATATAGATTATAGATAACTGTATATTTAATTCACATGTACATTTAATACACAAACAAGTGCTCATTGGGTAAATTTTCTTTTTATGAAATATTTCTTAAACTTTTAAAGGAAAGTTTGTTTTTTACTTATTAGTACGCGTTTTAAAATATTTTTTCTTAATTGTTTTTTACTACTAATTTATACACATATTATCATCCAAGGGGGTCCAGATTATTGTTTCTTTAAACATTTTTTATAGAAACCTTTTATAAAACACTTTGAGTAACTGATCTTCAAAGTATGCTGTCTCTTGATATTAAAGCAGAAAAATTCCAAAACTTTCGCTAGCTACTTATTTTGGTAATAAAATGCACCGCTTCTTAAAAGATACAGAAAGGCTGTAGTGAATATATCTAATTTTCTGCCAAAAGATAAGTTGGCTGATGAGAATTTCGCTGATAAATAAAATTACATGGCGGCAACGAAACTGTGGATAAAAACCTGGAGTTCATCGCGTAATACGATTCGCAAAAATTAAAATAGCACAGCGAATAATTTAATATGCCGAAGTTTTTCGCTCGAGATAACTTTCACATTTTTATTTTCTTCTAATTTTCGTTTAATGAGAATTTTCCGGTGTAATGTTGCTCATTTCATTGCTAAATTTAAAGGAAAAATTAATTCCATCAAAAGCATAGAATGTAAAATCATGCCAAGTCTCGCCAAACAATTATTTTACTATAAAAAGTTGTTAAATCTCATGTAAAACCAAGTCAATTTTTTATATTTAGTTTCTATTTAAGCATCTATTAAACAGTTTTGTAAAAATAAATTGTTAGTATCGAGGGTTGCCTCACTATTGGAATTACATGTACATTTTCTTGGCAGTCGCTGGCAATCATTGGCAGTCTTATGGCAGTCGCCTTTAATAATTACATGGCAGTTATAGGCACTTTTCTTTGTAGTCATTGGCAGCCGCTTGGCAGTAGAAAGATATTTTGGCAGTACGAGTACATTCTTTCCCGGGTGAGATACCTCTCGGTTATACTCTGTTTTTTTTTTCTCAGATTTCGACAGATAGTGACAGAGGAAAAGCGGATGAAGTCCCATATCAATCTATTTATTTTACTAAAAAAAGTTTCTAATATTTTTAACTACGGATGGGTTTAAATATAAATCCGTCATGCGTCGTCTTCTTGTTGTTTTTAACCAGTTTATTGGTGTATTTCAAAAATGACAGATCATATTTCAATTTTATTGGTTTGACGGAACGATGAACAACAAACGGACGCCGATGCGTATGGACTCGCCTTTAGATTTTTAAGGCTTGTCAAAGTCTTGCCAAATTATAGGTTATAATTTTGTGTCAACTTATGTCAAATATCTGCGTTTTGGAAGATGATGCATTTTGATTCGTGTTATTACGTGTGCTTTGTGTCTTTTGAAGTCAAGTGGAGGAAAAATAGAGGGAAAATAACTGTAGACCCAGAGCACAGTTTATAGTTAATACTCGATACACAGATTACTCAGGCAGAAAATCTTATATACCAATAAAGTTACCATTAATAAAGTTTGTATACCATCTCGTCGTAAATAAGTGCATCTCGACATGCTACAAGGATCGTACTAAACATACTACATACTACTGGAGTAGCTGTAAAATATCGACATCACACGATAGGTAAATATAATGCATTTTAGTACTGCAGAAAAATAATGGCAAAAGGTACTGGTTTAAAAAATTAAGATTAATGCTAATTAATCAGCCATTAAAGTATAAAACTTGGTAAGTGTTATTATTAATAAAATAGTTTGTTTTATTTATGTTGTTTTATTTATTCTTATGGGATATTACAAATTTTTATTTGTACATAAGTTATTATGATAAATATAATAATAAATGCGGGAAGTTTCTTGAAGCTTGAAAGTAAGAAATAGTTCTTTTTTATATTTTTTTGGTATGTGGTGTTTTGTTCTTATTTGTTTTGTATTAATACATACAGTTTTTTTAAATAAAATAACTCGATTAAATTTTTAAGTTTTATACAGTTTTTTTTATAAATATTTTGAAGTATTCACTTATCAGTCAAATTTTAAATATATTAATTTCCTGCTATGCGTTCCAGTTGTACCAACTTATTTCTTTGTAAAATAAAATAAACTACTTTGCAATTAAAATCGCAGACACATCTATCACTGTCAATGATCTTGTCGTTGGACAGACTATCGTATCAATTGCACGGCACCATAATAAGTGATACAATAAGTTTTGAATTAATAGAAGCTATACATTGCGATATAAAAACGCAACAAAACGTAATAACAAAATTTGTCCAACGCTGCCGGCGCGCCGTTTTGAATTCTGTCCCTCTGCTATTTTACGAGCGAAGTTTCGAGGGCAAAGTGTGCTACAGTATGAACTTCACCTACGTTTTGTTTAAAATGATTTCCTTGTCTGGAAATTATATCATCGTAAACGTCGCCGGCAGCTGCTCGTTTTCTAAACTAAACGATTCTAATAGTCGAACTGCGCGACGTTTTGCAGTCCTGGAATGGATGACTTACTGTGACGAACTGAAAAGGGTTAAACTTCGGTTCTTGCAGTGTAAGCTGGCTTTTTATCTAGGGTCACATTAACGAGTATAATTAACGCGATATAAATTAAATAGTTATAAAGGGCATATTAGAAAATAAAAGTTATAATTAAAGAAGTCTTTTTAAAAACAGGCTCTTATTTAAATGCTCTAAAAAGAATAAAATAAACTTTAAATTAAATGAAATCCATCAATTTATTATACAGGGTCAAAAAA